GGAGAAGAAGGAGAAGAGAGGAGAGAGAGAAGACAGAAAGAAGAGAGAGAGGAGAGAAGAGAGAGAAGAGAGAGGGGAGAGAGAGAGAGAAGGGGAGAGAGGAGAGGGAGAAGAAGGAGAAGAGAGGAGAGAGAGAAGACAGAAAGAAGAGAGAGAGGAGAGAAGAGAGAGAAGAGAGAGGGGAGAGAGAGAGAGAAGGGGAGAGAGGAGAGGGAGAAGAAGGAGAAGAGAGGAGAGAGAGAAGACAGAAAGAAGAGAGAGAGGAGAGAAGAGAGAGAAGAGAGAGGGGAGAGAGAGAGAGAAGGGGAGAGAGGAGAGGGAGAAGAAGGAGAAGAGAGGAGAGAGGAGAGAGAGAAGACAGAAAGAAGAGAGAGGAGAGAAGAGAGAGAAGAGAGAAGAGAGAGAGAGAGGAGAGAAGAGAGAGGAGAGAGAGAAGACAGAAAGAAGAGAGAGGAGAGAAGAGAGAGAAGAGAGAAGAGAGAGAGAGAGGAGAGAAGAGAGAGGAGAGAGAGAAGACAGAAAGAAGAGAGAGGAGAGAAGAGAGAGAGGGGGGAGAGAGAGAGAAGGGGAGAGAGGAGAGGGAGAAGAAGGAGAGGAGAGGAGAGAGAGAAGACAGAAAGAAGAGAGAGAGGAGAGAAGAGAGAGAGGAGAGAAGAGGGAGAAGAGAGTAGAGAGAATAGAAATGAGGAAGAGGGAGGGAGATGGAGGGAGGGAGAAGAGAGAGGAGAGAGAAGAGAGAGAGAGAGAAGAGAGAGAGAGGAGAAAAGAGGGAGAGGGAGAAGAGAGAGAGAGATGGAGGGAGAGAGATCCAAGAGATTAGGTCACCAATGCAAGAAGGGGCACATCTGGGGTCAACAGGAACCCAACGGGAGCCCCAGGGCGTGGAAGGTTACCTTGGCAATGGGCAGGGACAGATCCCAGAAAGGGTCAAAGGCAGTGGAACAGTAGCCGCAAGAACTGCAGGTCAAGGAGCTCTTGAGTTGCCCAACAAAGAGATCTAAAGGAAGAGAAGACGGGGAACATGAAGTTTGAGGCCAAGCAGGCTTCCTATGCACATAGCAGACGGACTTTCCTCCTGCCTGGACGCTTGAAGAGATGCTTCGCGTCATCCGAGAACGAGAACAGAGGATCTGATGTCATGGCTGGGTTATCTCAACCCTCTTAGTCACCAACCAGCCAACTTGCTTTTGACCTCATTTGTTGTGCAAGAGCACGCTAATGTTGTTCACCGACGCTTCTCCGCGTAGGAGTCACCCATGATCCAGTTACGTGGGTAGGTGTTTCTGCGCAACAGTGACGGCAGTTTTTGAAAAGTGAGTTTTAGAAAGAAGCTTCAAAGTCTTGACTGGTGTTGAATCCAGAGGTGGGTCGCTACTGGCATTACTGCCGGTTCAGCGTGCTAAAAAATTTGTGCTCGCGTGCACACCAGATGTGTGCATGCATGCGCGTTTGCATATAAAAAGTTCTGCACATGCGCCCGACGTTAGAAAAGGGAAAAAATTACATTTTTTCAATGAAGATTGTTCTGTGCATGCGCAGAACTGAAAATCAAGATGGCGCTGCCGAGGATAGAACCGGTTTGGGAGCATGTCCGGCTGAGTTACTACCTACTGGTCCGAACCGGTCCAAACCGGTAGGAACTCACCTCTGGTTAGATCTCAACTCCCTACTTCTCAAGGCTTTTCTGAAGCTTCTCTTCCCAGCGCCTAGATCTGAGCACGGTGGAAATCCGTTCTACGTTTGCACAAAATCAGCCGAGGAATTTCAGAGCGCATGAAAGGCTCCTTGATCTCTGTGGTGGCTGATTCCCAACCCAGTTCGGGCTCCCAGTTTAGTGGCTGGGAAGCCAAGAGGTGAATGAGCCACGAATTCAACACAGCTTCTTCTGTGGCCCTCAATTGACTAGGCCACGGATGGCAAACCTTTTCGGCACTGAATATCCAAACCAGAATGCCCATGCATGCATGTTCATGTGCATGCGCCGGAGTGCCAGCTGGTCTTACCAGTTGTGCATACCTGTTTTTGCACCATTTTCGACTGTTTTGCGGGCCATTTTCAGGTCCAAGAAACAACCTGAAAACAGTCCAAAAACATCCTGAAAACATCCAGAAAAATACTATCAAGTGGCATAGAGAAGGGAGGAGAATTCCATGCATACTTTTGGCTAGAGTCAAGTCTCATATTCAACTGGCATGTGAATGCTCATGTCCATAACCTTCCGTAGCGTCATGTTGGTGAATGTGAGTTATGACCATGGCAGAGTGGAAGGGACACAGGGGTAACGTTCAGACGCCATTAAGTGTAAATCAGTTTTGGCTCAGCAGGAGTACATGCCAGAAGGTTGATCCTAATAAATGAATGGATTTCTTTTGAACTTTGTCTCGAGGCTCGTGAATTAATTAGGTCATCTCCTGGGAGCTTCACACTAGCACTGAATGAACAAAGTTTGGCCATTGGAAAGGTCAAAATATTTTCTAAAACGTTTGCATGGGTTCTGTCGGTCAAATGGGGGTCCAGCATTAGGTGGAGTCATACATTAAAAAGAGAGAAAAAAAGTTGATCATTAATGGATTTTATTTAATTACTGGGGGGGGGGGGGAGAAAACAACAACCCCACACTTGGCTGAAATTGAAATGCTGCTTTGAAATATCCAAGGAAGTTTTAACAAAATGACAATGAAAAAGTTAACAATGTTTATTCAGGGTTCTATAAATATCAACAATTCAATGAACGAATTGAAGGAACAGTTGCCCTTCCTGGCTTTGATCCGGAAACATCAAGGCCAGATCTGACCTCATGCACATTTGTAAAGGAAAAGAAACCGAAAGTGGCAACCTTGAACAAAAAGGGAACTGACTCTTTAAACCAGTTTTTAAAGAGGCAGCTATGCTGATTTGGGTCAATGCCATCGGGGTGTTTCTGAAGATTTCACCACTTTTGAAAACCACAATCAGCAAGGAAATGACGCTGTTGACTGTTATGGTAATGTAAGTCAACATTTTGTTCTGACCGAGGCTTCCTGAGAGCATGAAGCAAACTCCTTGTCCCCACAAAAAAACCCTTTTATTAATTTCCTGAGAATTCTGCTCCTTCACGTCCAGCAAAGTCTTTCGAGGGAGGATTTATGGTCACAGACCTTATCTGGCTTGGAGAGCTGCCAGGCTGAGATCTGCAGAACTTGGTAAGGAGCCTCGGAGAGTCAC